TATTTAATTTTATATAATTTATTATATATTATATTAAATTTTGTAAAATCTCGATTTTACAGATTCGATTTTATGATTCCGATTTCACCTAGCCAAAATGATTTTAAATAAAATCTCGATTTTAAGTAAAGTCTCAATTTTAAGTAAAATCTCGATTTTGACAACCTTGGTCAGAACAAACCTCCATTGCTAGAGTCCACTGGGGGCAGTTGGCTCCATAAATACCAATCCGGCAACCCTGTCATGAGAATTTTTTTCTATCATGTGCCCTATTGTATCGTTTTATCATTAATAGATATAGTAAAATTAAAAATTGATATTGATTTTATTATTTATTTAATAAAAAATATTCATATATCATAAATATTAAAATTAATGTTAATTTTTTTATTCTTTATGTAAATTAATACAAAAAAAAAAAATTAAAACTCTCTTGACTTCTGCCTTACTCTCAATGCAGAACCAATCAGTAGAATGTCATCATAAACTTCTTTATATGTCTCACATAAGGCCCTACCTGAAGGCGGCCAAAACAAAATAAAAAAGAAAACGAGATGAGGAATGCTTGCTTTTTAGACAAGTAAGAACAAGGATTAGGCCAATGCTTGCTCAAAGTGAGCTTCATCATAAAAGTGTAATTCAAATAAACTATCACAGCAAAATCATCATAATAGACAATAAAACCTTCATTTACATGTGATAATTTCTTCTTCTACTTCTAGTGTAATAGTTTCACCCGTTATACTGAAGTAGTTTGCTTAAAGATGTTAAACTGACAGAATTATAGCTTTCAGTTTAAACATGTAAGTTTCTAGCATTAATATACTAGTAGTTCTACCAATGCATGATCAATGTAAAAGAAAAAAAAAGCATGGTATTTGCAATTACCTGAAAATATCCCAAGTTGTAGCCATGTCAGGATCAGGTAGAGGAAACTCATTTTTGGAAAGAAGGTTGCGGTATATAGGACCAACCGACGGTTTCCCATCTTGTCCTTCTCTTGCTTCCTCGACCTGAACAGCAAAATCTTTCATCTTCCCCATCTACTATACAATATCTGAAAGGAAATCCAAGATTTAGTTCCACAATCACTGTAAATTGCACAAGAGGTGAAAACAAAGGTACAGAAAGTCATCACTGAGCCATTAATCCAAAGTGGATAAAGATGACTACCTAGATATAGGGAAAATATGGTGTTCGTAATACAAGCAATTAGAACTTCAATATTTTAATACAAAATGAAATAATTTATTTTATAAATTAAATAGGTTAAACCCCCATTTTGGTCCCTCAACTATCGTACGACCCCCGACTTAGTCCCTCAACTCAAAAAATCCCTGATTTGGTCCCTACTGTTTACCATTTTGACCCCAATTTAGTCCATCCGTTAAAAATTCAATGACATGTCTTGTTAATTAACTGGAGCATGATGAAGTGTCCAAATAACTTGACACATCAGATGCATACCTGAAAAAAAAATGACAACACGACCAAAAAAATAATGACATGGAAAAAAAAAATTATATCAAAAAACTTAAAAAATTCTTTCTTTTTC